TCAGGGTCCAAAAACACAGGGAATTTGCCACATTTCTGAAATTCGGTGCCACCCCTCACGCAGATCCGCGGGGTCAGGGTCCAAAAACACATGGGATTTGCCACACTTTTTGAAATTCGGTGCCACCCCTCACGCAGATCCGCGGGGTCAGGGTCCAAAAACACAGGGGATTTGCCACATTTCTGAAATTCGGTGCCACCCCTCACGCAGATCCGCGGGGTCAGGGTTCAAAAAGACATGGGATTTGCCACATTTCTGAAATTCGGCGCCACCCCTTACGCAGATCCGCGGGGTCAGGGTCCAAAAACACAAGGGATTTGCAACATTTCTGAAATTCGGTGCCACCCTTCACGCACATCCATCGCAAGGCGTGGTAACCCAAACTGCGAGAACTCCCTCGGCCCTTTAATCGCAAGGTGTGGTAACCAAGCCCGTAAACCATACACGTCTTACCAATCGCCAGGTGTGGTAACCCCTCTTGTGATCAGTTGGTTTTGCTGATTGCGAATCGGCTTCGCATGAAGTTTCGATACTGCTTCACGACAGCGCCAAGGCCTCATGACTTAGCTCTTCCATGGCCCATTCTCCGAGAGAGGGGGCCGGCGGCAGGGGGCGAAGCCCTTACGGATAACCAGCTCGAGGCCAACACGCGTCCACATCTCGGCCCCAAACCGCTGCATCAATCGTAGGCCCTCTCCACGTGACAAGCAAATCTTTCGAGGCCTGCGGCAGGACGGCACCACCTCAGCCTCCCCCCAAGCAGCGCCAGCCTCCTCCTCCTCCTCCTCCTGCTCCTCCTCCTCCTCCTCCTACCTCCTCCTCCTAGCTCCTCCTCCTCTTCGCCCCTCCCCCCCATGCCTCACTCCTCCTCCTACTCCTCCTCCTCCTCCTCCTCCTCCTCCTCCTCCTCCTCCTCCTCTTCCTCCACCTCCTCCTCCGTCCTCCTCCTCATCCTCCTCCTCGTCCTCCTCCTCCTCTTCTTCCTCCTTCTCTTCTTATGATTCTTCTTCTTATAAGTATTAGTATTATGATTATTATTCTTATTCTTATTCCTATTATCATTCGTATTTATTATTATTAGTATTATTATTATTATCATTATTAATATTATGATTATTATTACTATTATTATTATTCTTCTTCTTATTAGTAGTATTATTATTATTATCACTATTATTATTATTATCATTATTATTACTATGAGTATGATGATGATCATGATTATTATTATTATTATTCTTATCATTAATAAAAATATTATTATTATTATTATTGTTACTATTATTCCTCTTCTTCTTCTTCTGTTTCTTCCTCCTCCTCCTCCTCCTGTTCTTCATCCTCTTCTTCCTCCTCCTCCTCCTCCTCTCCTCCCCTTCCTCCTCCTCCTCCTCCTCTTCCTCCTCCTCCTCCTCCTCCCTTTCTCCTTTTCCTCCTCCTCCTCCTCATCCTCCTCCTTCTCCTCCTCGTCCTCCTCGTCCTCCTCGTCCTCCTCTTCCCCCTCTTCCTCTTCCCCCTCCTCCTCCTCCTCCCCGTCCTTTCCCGTCTCTCCTCTTCTCCTCCTCGTCCCTCCTCTCCTCCTCCTCCTCCGTCCTCGTCGTCGGGCCTCGTCCTCGTCCTCGTCTCGCTCGTCCTCCTCCTCCTCCTCCTCCTCCTCCTCCTCCTCGGAGTCCTCCTCGTCCTCCGTCGTCCTCCTCGTCTCGTCCTCTCGTCCTCATCCTCTCCTCTCTCATCCTCCTCCTCCTTCCTCCTCTCTCATTCGTCTCCCTGTATCCTCCCTTTCCGCTCCTCTCCTGTCCTCGTCGTCGTTTCCTCCTCGTCCTCGTCCTTTTCGTCCTTTTCGTTCTCCTCCTCCTCCTCCTCCTCCTCCTCCCTCGTCCGTCTCGTCCTCCTCCTCGTCCTCGTCTCCTCCTCTCGTCCTTCTCTCGTCCTCCTCCTCCTCTTTTTCCTCCTCTCCTCCTCTCCATCTCTCCTCCTCCTCCTCCTCCTCCTCCTCCTCCTCCTCCTCCTTCCTCCTCCTCTCCTCCTCCTCCTCCTTCCTCCTGCCTCCTCCTCCTCCTCCTCCTCCTCCTCCTCCTCGTCCTCTCGTCCTCCTCGTCCTCCTCGTCCTCCTCGTCCTCCTCGTCCTCCTCGTCCTCCTCGTCCTCCTCGTCCTCCTCGTCCTCCTCGTCCTCCTCGTCCTCCTCGTCCTCCTCGTCCTCCTCGTCCTCCTCGTCCTCCTCGTCCTCCTTCTCCTCCCCTGGCGACCGCGAGTCAGTCCCACGCGCCCAGAGCTCGGTGACCGGGGGCTAATAGATTCCTCCGCCGCCTCGCAAAGGAGGGCGGCCCCCCCAGGGGTGGCCAGCTGTTTAGGACAGCGGTCACTCCCATGGGGGGCAGGTTTTGCTGGCTGGCCGGTGCCTCTACCTTCCGCTACCTGTGAGCACGGCGGGCCCCGCGACGATGAGGCAGCCCAGCTCAAGCACGGCCCAACGCCCCAGCCGCCGCCCTCCGGGGCCTCCCGCAGCAGGATGGCAACAACGCCGCGCCGCCGCCGCGCCCCGCTACGCGCCGCCGCTTCCGCCGGGCCGCCGCCCAGCCGCCGCCCGGCCGCGCCGGACTGCGCGCGTGACCGCGCGCCGCGGCCGCCGCGCGCCCCAGCTGCGGCTGCCTCGGCCTCGCCGCGGCTGCGGTCGCTCGCGTGCAGCGCTGGCCCCGTCTCCAGGCGCGCCTCTGGCGTCTTGCTTCAGCAGCTCCGCGCCGTAGCCAACGGCGCCCCAACGCCGTCGCAGCCGCCCCGTCGGTCGGCACCCGGCGCGGCCGCTGGGTTGCGCCCAGGGCAGCTCAGCCCCCGCCAGGGTGGCCCCGCCTGGCGTCAGCTGCCCAGCCATGCGCCTTCGTCGCCGCCAGCATCGCGTCGGCGACGCGGCGCTGCAAGACGCACCCGAGCGACTGGTGTAGTCGCCGGGCGGCCGCATTTCGCTCGGGTGGCCTGGGCGGGCGCGAGCAGCCGCGTCAGCGCCAGCGCTTCTTCGCCCAGGCGGCCGCGGTCCCCCGCCGCGGACGGGGCCACCGCCTCCCCTGGGTAAGGGGCCCGTTTGCGCCGCGCCGCGGCTGCCGCTGCCGCGCCGCCCCGCCGCGCGGAGCCGAGCGCGAGGGCGCCCCGCGCGAGCGCGCTCGCCACGGTCAGGTCGACCGCGCCTCCTCCTCCTCCTCCTCCTCCTCCTCCTCCTCCTCCTCGTCCTCGTCCTCCTCCTCCTCCTCCTCCTCCTCCTCCTCCGTATCCATTTTGGCTCAAGTCATTGAGCTGGCACTGGGGATCAGCGGCCCCACATTTCCAGGGACGGGCCCGTCCCGTCGGCAACCATTCCTCCCACACGAAGATGGCGATGAAGGGCGATTTCACGGTCTGCTCATGTGGCAATTGGGCATTCAATTGCCGTATCCAGCGCAACGATGGTATGTGCGCGAAGTGCGGGGCCTCGATGGATCTATACCAGAGAGCACCTCCGTGGCGTTCGAAGAGGCAGAGTTCGCGGCATCAATACAAAGCAACGGAGACGACCACGGGCCCCACGAAGATCGACCCAGCAGCTCTCCTCGAGCAGCTGGCCTCTCTTCCCCAGTTCTTTCACCAAAGAGGTTAACACGCTTCGTCAGGCGCAAGAGAAGTACAAGGAGAGCCAGGTGGTGCAGGCGTCTCCCCAACAGTGCTACACGAGGTCGGCGAAAAAAACTCAAGTGGAAGGCGGATGCTCTCGAGAGGGCTTCCAAGGCAGAGTTGGACGCGGAGCACAAGCTGGAGGTCGCCAGGGAGACCACGAAGTTCGCGGCATTGGAGCACGCCAGAGCCAAGAACGAGCACGCGGACGCTGTGGCTCGAGTCGCGGCGGAGGCCAACATCCAGCATGTCCCGCAGGGATACACTTCGGACGGCAAAAGAGTCGTCTTCGCGGTGGATGGCACGCTATTCCAGGACATCGGCGCTTTTGACGAAGAAGAGCAGCGTGTCTTGCGGGCCCTTGAGGCCACGATTAAGGAGAAGTGCGAGCAGGTGGCGGCCATCCAGCAAGCAGTACACGAACAGTTCGCAAAGGTCAAGGATAGTCGCTCTGGCGCAACCAAGAGACAGCGCACTGGAGAACAAGGTCAACCGGCAGTGGGTACAGGAGGCACCACGGAGTACGACTCGACGCCAGAGGACCAGCGAGGGGATGCCAAGAGCCCCGTGCAGCCGAACGAGGACACTCCCGACCTGCTGGCGGCAGCGGAAGCGGACCGAGCTGCGGCGTTGGAGGCTGAGCGCAAACGGATCGCGAGCAATGCCAAGGCTGGCGGCAAAGGTGCTTCATCGTCTGCTTCAGGTTCTGGTGCTGGTGCTCAGCGTGGGTAGCAGCATTGGCGGGGATACACCATGTACATCTTCGAGCACGGCAAGTACGAGGTCAAGGTTATTCTTCAGTAATATATCGGAGTGGGGGCCTGTCGCGAGGCCCTTCATGCGCGAGCAGGCAAAACAATATGATATCTTTGGTTTCGCAGAGACACACAGAGAGGACACCGTCTACAGGAGGCGAAGTCCGACTTGGGGCGAGATGGTTGGGAACTTACAGCAACAGAGGCTACGATGACGGGCAGATCAAGTGAGGGCACTTCAGGCGGAGAGTGGATCATTACCCAGAAGCGTATGGCTACCACTTCCTTCGAGCATCTACGAGAGTCAGAGCGAGCACGCACAGGGCGCGATTGTTTCCAAGGATTTGCCCCCATGCTATGGCACGCCCGCATGGGCAACGTTGTTGTGGTGGTGTGCTACCTTCTCCCAGGGCACAAGTTTCGTGGTCCGAACGAGAAGACGATGATTAGGTTGGCGTCCTTCCTCAGCCTGGCGAAGGATCCCTGGTTGAAGATGGGCGACTAGAATATGCATCCATCGGAGTGGTCTAAGACAACCTGGCTGGAGAAGCTGGATGCACTGGTCATCATTCCTTCCAATGGTGAAGTTACGTGCAATAGGGGCCGAGGCACGCTCATCGACTACGCGATTGCGAAGCGTGGGTTTTCTTCTACCATGAAGCTATCAATTGTGCCTGAGGTGCCATGGAAGACCCATGCAGGTATGGTCTTAGAGGTCATGTACGCGAAGATGGGTTGGTGGCACAGAGCGTTGGACATTGCGAAGGGGCTTCCCACGGTTGAGAGACCCACCATTTTGCCCGACCCAGAGAGCAAGAGGCAGAAGAAGTTGGCGGAAGCTCGAGCACTCAGACAGCAGCAACTGTACGATCATTTGCAGGAGGCGTTTCGCAACACGCAGCATCAGCATGAGGACAGCATCGAGGAGTATACCGCCCCATTCAGCATCTCCCAAGAGGTTTGGGAGCAGGCGCGGACGCTAGAGAAGACACAGGACTCATGCCTGGAAGAAAATCGGGAACTCACCCCGCATTTCCTCCAGGACAGGGACATACCAGCCAGGGACAGGCCGGCATCCAGCTACGCGAGCTGGGTGACAACGCGTGAGGAGGCCACCATCATCACACACAAGCTCGATCAGCAGGGGGCCGACAGGGTCAGGGGCAGAGCCAAGGGCTTCGCGTTCAGGTGGGAGCGGACACGTGCTACTCCCGACCGCCCCCATCTACGAGACCCACTGGCTGAGTGGTGGAACATATGCAGTACTCTGGTCAATCGAGCTGGAGTATTACGGCAGTCACAGCGAATTACCGATTTAGAGGTGGTCTTCAGCAAGATCGAAGACCTTCTGAGCATCAATAACGTTACGGACATGTTTACGATTTTCCACGACGAGGATAAGTTCAAATGCTGGTTGGGCATGGTGGCCATGGTTTCAAAATTAGATGACACGGACTTCTCGGAATTTGCAGCAGATGACAAATCAGTGCCTCAGCAGAGCGATTGGGCGATCCCTATCGAAGGCGAACAAGAGCTTCCAGCAGAAGGTGATCCGCATGTGGAAATATACTCCAGGAGTTATCCACAGGTATACGCGAGGTGTGCTGGGCAAGGCTGATGAGATCATTGGCACGGATCGCGTTATCGGCTCACCCAGTGATATCATGGACCACCGAGCTGACAGATGGCAGAAAGTTTGGAGCAATGACAACTTCAGTGCTGGCAAGATAGAATACGGGTTGAGATACCTACGGCAGAGAGCCTCTCAGCAGGACAGCGAGCTGATCACGACGGGCCACATATACCAGGCCGCATCCAGCATGAACGCGAAGAAATCGAAGGGCATTGATGCAATGGGTCCAGTGGAGGCACAGCGACTACCACTATCGGGTGCACATCAGCTGGGGCGGCTGCTCAATGAGGTCGAGGAGATTGGGATGTGGCCCCCACAGGTCAACCTAGTCATTGGAGCGATCGCCTCCAAGCCGAGAGGAGGAGATAGAGTTTTATGGCGGTTACCGTTTTTGGTCGAGCTCTGGGCAAAGATACGAAGTGCGGCTACATTGCAATGGACCTCCGATGCGGACGAGCATTGGGATACTGCGGTCCGTGGGTCCTCGGCACTGCAAGCCGCGTTGGTTCGCGGGCTGTTAGACGAGTCGGCGCGAGAGCTTCACATTTCTTCAGCTACTTTATTGTTGGACATAGAAAAATTTTACGACAGTCGAGGCATCGCAAAGTTGTGTGCTGCGGCTCTCACACAAGGATTTTCCGCCAAGGTACTGCTTATGGAGCTCCAGATTTGCCTCGCGCCGAGGGTGCTGAAAGACCGTAGTTGGGTGTCGCGCATCATGCAGGCACAGCGGGGTATTGTGGCGGGTTTGCTCAACGGCGGCAGAATGGCGAAAGCTTTCCTAGGTCCTATCATGGAGAGGGCTCACCAGCAGTACGGCATGCAGATCCTTCTCAGAACGTTCGTAGGCGACACAGTGATTCGTGTGGAAGGTACGGCTAAGCAGGCTACTTCCTTGACGATGGAATCGGGCGCGATGGTTTGCGAACAGCTACGGCAAGCTGGCTTAGTCATCGGCGAGAAGACCACGGTGGTTGCTTCGGACAATGAGATCTTGAGGGAGGTCACAACGGGCCTACGTCGACTGGGAATTCCTGTCACTCCCGCGCACGAGCCGGTCGACCTGGGCATGGACACCAGTGCAGGGCGTCGTCGCACCTGCACCAAAGCGAATGAGAGAAGAACGAAGGCTGCTAAACGAACCTGGGCGATCACGATGATGAGAAGGCATGCGAAGTTACGAGGCATCACTACGGCGTTGTGGACTGCTGGATCACGACCACAGGGAACATACGCCCATCAGGCGTTTGGCGTAGCAGGACACGTGATGACATATTTGAGGAGACAGGCTGCGCAGTGTTCAGTTGGTGCAGGACCAGGACGTTGCTTGACTACGGCATTGGCGATGGTGTATGGCAAGAAAGATCCAGCCAAGGCAGTGAGACTCGAGCATTTCCACATGTGGCTGAGGATGTGGCGCGAGCATCCTGAGTTGCACGCGCGTGTGGCGACGGCTTGGGTCAGCATCCGCAGGCGGCTGCTACTGGCAGGATCACGCACATGGCGATTAGTGAGAGGCCCAATCGGGGCTACGATTTCAACTCTGATGGATATAGGATGGGCCACACATTCGCCTATGCAATGGGAGTCTGCAAAGGAAACGTGGACCATTCCTTCACATGCAGATGCTGAGTATGAGCAGTTTCACGGCGACTTCACGGACATATTGAGGGATATTGAGGACACCATAGATCGACTGCTATGGAATATAGCTTCGAGGCACGACATCGGCATCGACCTGAACGACGGGGCTGACACGTACCAGCTGTCCAGGGAGCTGCGCACGCTCAGGGATGACGACGGCTCTGACGACTGGGCGCTGAACGTGGTGGTGACGACTGGGGACCAGTGGCCCCGTGAGAGGCTTCAACAGGCCGGGTACAATATACCTAGCCTTTTATGCCCAAGGTGCCAACAGGCGCCTGAGAGTCTGTTTCGCCGTATTTGGGAATGCTAGGCCAATGTTGGCCATACAGATTTCACGAAATCCGATTCCTTGATCCCCCAGGCTAGGGCGAACCACGAGAGTTCGCCGAGTTTCTGGCTCCGTGGGGTCCCAGGTCGGGCTGAAACGGTCCCGACCTTCTCTGATGACCCACCCATTGTTTTTCGATGCGGCTCGATCCAAGACATCCCCAGAGACGCCGAAGGTTTCGCTACCGTGTTCGGGGACGGTTCGGGTGGGAGGTTCTCTGACGACCCTCGGCGTCGACGGGTTGGCTCTGGAGTCGTCGCACTGGCCCCAGAAGGCCAGGCCTGGAAGTCGGTTTGGGGCGTTGGCGCTACCCTCTATGGGAAGCGCCAGAGTGTTCCTCGCGCGGAGATCACTGCGTTCGCGATTGCGGTTGAGGACGTCCCAGGCCGACTGTGTTTTGTCACAGATCATCAGCCACTGTTGAGGTCCTGGGCCAAAGGTCGGTCTGTCGGTTTCGAGGCCCTGGAGGGGGGTGTAACGCGGACCTTTGGGCCAGGATTGCCGCTGCGCTTCGTGCCAGAGAGCCCGAGGACGCGGTGCTCAAATGGGTGGCCTCTCACCAAGAGGAGGCCACACACCAGAGGTATCAGTCGTTCCTGCAATTCGGCAACGAATGTGCCGATGCGCTTGCAGGGGCGATGGCGGAAAAGGCTTGGTCAGAATTCGTGGTGGCTGACCCTCCGACCGACCGAAGGGATGCGGAGTTGTTTTTGATCCGTCGGCGCGCGAGGAGAGCCCTGGGGCTTTCCATGGTTGCGGACCCGTGGACCCACGAGCGCCTCTCGGCGCAGTCTCAAAAACCGTTCCCGAGGTTGGCGAGAGAGCTCAGAGCCTCTGAGCATCGGTGGTGTCGTGTGGGTGCTAAGTATTATTGCGCTAAGTGTTCGAGTTTTTCGAATCAGGATTCGATTGTTGAGGCTTGTGAGACTCCGTGCGGGTCGAAAGGGTCGTCAATAATTCGAGCCCATCCGAGGGAGGTGTGATATTGGTGGCAAAGAGCTCCATCCGTCTCAGACACTGCAGTACTGGAGTGTGTACTGCCTCACCTTTTGTAGCACTTGCGGTTTTAGTTGCACCACCGACCCCCGACAGCTCTTGAAAGTGTGCAAGCTCACCCCCGAGGGGAAGCAGAATCTGGCGAGAATTTTAGCGGGTAAGTACCCCCACCCGTCGGGGCCCCCGAAAGCTGTGAGAGACGCGTTGCGCAGTCGATTTCAGCAGTAATCGTGAAGCCAATGCGGGACCTTCGACGTCCCTTATCTGGAATATCCTGGAATATCCTCCTCCTCCTCCTCCTCCTCCCCCTCCCCTTCCCCCTCCCCCTCGCCCTCGTCCTCCCCCTCCCCCTCCCCTTCCCCCCCCTCCTCCCTCCTCCTTCCTCCCCCCTCTCCCCCTCGCCCTCCCACTGCCCCTCTCCCCTCCCTCTCCCCGTCCTTTGCCTGCTCCCCCTCCTCCCCCTCCTCCGCAAATACAAAATATGAAAACTACTCTCCTCTCTCCCCTGATGACATCCGGAAGATGTCTGGCGGCGTACTGTTTTTAACGCACGGGATTGCCGGGAAATCGGTTTTCGCTTTGGCTTGTTTTCAAAATGTTACTCCCGCTTGAGCGCTGGCCCCATTTCTGCGCCTCTGGTTGTTCCAAGTCGTGCTCGCGCTGCAGCGCGGGCATTTTCGGTCCTTCCAAATAGGTCCCCAAATCTACAAAAAGCTCTCCCCCCGAAAAAACCATGGGAAGTGCTTCCGCATTCGGTGTCGATTCGTTGATTTCTTGGGCCGCAGGAGCCATTAGGGGCGTCGACGCTTTCAGGAAGTATCAAGCGGGAGCCCCGTGTCTGCTTTGAGAAGGCGATGTTGGAAGCAGAGCCAGCGGGTGCTCTCCATCAGCCCCGACTTGAGTGGAGCTTTTCGGGGAGTCCAAAGAGCTAGACATGGAGCCACGACTCAGACCGGCCCAAACCTCTCGAAGACAATCCACTTACCCTCCAAGGAACCCGGCGCCATGCCATGACATTGCGGTGTTGTGTTCTGCGCCGCTGTGCGATGCCACGCTTTGCGTTGCACGCCACGCTATGGCATGCTACGCTCTGCCATGCCATGCCGTGCTCTACCATGCATCGCGTACCCTCTCGCGATCATTGCCCTGCTCGACATCCGACTGTGTGAATAGAGAGGATATCTACGTCATGATAAGGGATGGGAGGGAGGGGTAGGACGTCAGATACGACGCGGGCGCACCTAGCTTGCCCTCCTCCCCCTCCTCCCCCCCCTCCTCCTCCTCCTCCTCCTTCTCCCTCCTCCTCCTCCTCCTCCTCCTCCTCCTCCTCCTCCTCCTCCTCCTCCTCCTCCTCCTCCCCCTGAGGCTCAAAGCCGTGGCTCCCCGCGGCCCGCGCAGACACACGTCGAGAACGGAAGGCCTGGCCACCAAGGCCAGGCCCCTGAGCGAAGGCCCAGGGGAACCGTCGCTCGACATCATCCTTCAAGAGCATGAGGCCCTCCGTCAGCCAAACTGAGGAAACATCGAGGTTGCCTTACCCAGGACAGGAGAGCCCAGAATCGAATCGATAAGTCGGATCGGCAATCGAAACCAATCGGATCGGGGGAATTCGGCATCCGAGTCGGGAAAAGTCGAATCGGCGGAAATCGGCAGGATAGTAGGCCTCCGTTGAGAAATCGGAGCCCAAATCGGAATCCGAAATCGAATCGAATCGGAAGCGGAATCAATCGAAATCGGATCGGATCGAATCGGCGGCATCGAAGCGAGCCCTGCCAGGATGCACAAGAGCATCCAACCAAGAGGGAACACAACAGGGCACCCTCCCCGAGCCGACCTCGAGCTTCTACCTCGGTCCGACGGCACCCCTTGGCCGATCCACCCCCCTACTGACTACCTACCAGACCACCCCAACCCAACCCGAAGACCCGAATTTCGGGTTGGGGGGGTGACGGGTTCCATACGTGTTTTCTCGATGTTCCACGACCCCCCCCCACTGGAAATCGAGGGTAAACTGGGGCCTTCGGGTTGGGTTGGGGTGGTTTGGTGGGTGGTGACCTACCCCCCCTGCAACGAGGATGCGCGGGCGCGCGCGGCAGCGCGGCTGGCCGGTATTGCAGCGTCGGACAAAACATTCCACGGAGCACCCTACTGTCGATACTCGGCATGCTGCACGAGCGGCGGTCAAGAAGGGTCCCGCGCGTCCAGACCACATCTCGCGCTCCCTCGGGGGGAGGGAGGAGGAGGAGGAGGAGGAGGAGGAGGAGGAGGAGGAGGAGGAGGAGGAGGAGGAGGAGGAGGAGAGGAGGAGGAGGAGGAGGAGGAGATGACACAGCGACCCTACGCGGCGG